ATAATTATAAAGGCAAATCAGCCAATTCCATAGATAACGATATTGACTTTATGAAAACTCTTTTACCACTAATTAACACATTTGTTACCAGTGCTTGACTTAAGAGGGGATGCAGGGGGACGGAGTACCCCAACTAATTTTCAAAAATTTTAGCGCCCCCTTACTATTATTACGCTATAATCATAACGCTCAGCCAGTTTTGGGGACGTTCTTTTTTTTAAAGTAAATAGAGTCCCCCTTTTTTAATTTTACCAAGTTGAACACTGTTTGTTACCCAATTAATGCAGAAAATAATATAAAACTCGCCAGTCATCATTAACAGCTTAAACTTGAACACTAATGGAGCTCCATAATACTTTAATATTAAACTGGAATGCTAACCGTCTTAAAAATTAAAGAAATACATTACTAGCTTTTCTTAATCATCACAACATTCACATCGCATGCATTACTGAAACGCATTTGTCACACACAGATAAAATTTAATTCCCAGGCTACAAAATTTATCGTGCTGATCGTATTACACAATCTCGTGTCATGGGCGGAGTGGCTATTCTAGTACGAAACAAAATCAAACAACAACAATTGCCTACACTAGTCCTTACATACTTAGAAGCCATAGCAGTTTCCATTAACATAAACAATAAGTATATAACGTTCTTCAGTGCATATCAACCTCCTAGTCGCCAAATGCTTATCGCAGATTATGAAAAAGTCTTGAACCTAGATAACTCAGTTATAATTTCCGGTGATTTAAATTCTAAACACATTAACTGAAGATGCCGTGTTACAAATCCAAATGGCTCTAAATTACAAGCATTCATAGCAAACACACCTTTTTCAATATCAGCTCCAAATACACTTACTTACTTCCCAACAGACATAAACCGTTTTTCTGATATATTAGACATTTTAATAATTAAATCTGTCCTATTTGTACGCGTGCATGAACCTCTCATCGAACTCGACTCGGATTACATACCTGTTAAAATAATGATTAACTCACCCTTTCTTTTCCGCCGTACAAACAACTCATTAATTAAAGGCGAACCAGACTGAAATAGATTCTCTAACCATGTACAATCTACTCTGAAAATACCAGTGGTAGGTATACCTACCACTCTAATAGCAGAACAAACAACCTATCATCTGACGGACGTCATAAAAGAAGCTGCTCAGTCCTGTTCTAATCCCGTACCGCAAAATATACACAGTTCAGACAACTTAACACACTCCATATCTTCACTTATTCGTCGTAAACATTTAGCCAGGCACACCTGGAAAAACCATAGGAACCCTACAGATTAAAAAATACTAAACCTACTCACCAAAGAATTCCAAGCAGCTTTACAAATTTACCGTGTATCCTCATACAATAATTACTTATCAAACATGCGACCGGTGAATCAAATTCGTAGAAAGCAACAAAAAGGCTATTAAACCAAAATATCAATACCATTCCCCCTCTCCGCACTGATGCAAAAATTGTCATATCCGATCAAGAAAAATGTGATGTTTTTTCAAACATGCTGTACAATAACTTTTCTCCCAACCATATTTGTAATCCAAACAACGACCTAAGAGTAAAACACACCTTAGAACTACTAAATTATAAAGTCCAAAACTCTATAAACTACGTAACGCCAAATTAAATCAAACAAATTATTAAAAATCTTCCGAACAAAAAATCACCGAGTCACGACAAAATTACAAACCTTATGCTAAAAAAATTACCACCGAAAGGATTAGTGTTTATGTCCACATTATTTAACTCTTTGTTGCGTCTTGGTTACTTTCCATCCAAATGGAAAGTCGCAGCCATAATACTAATAAACAAACCAGGGAAGGTTAAATCCAATCCTGACAGCTATAGGCCAATCAGCCTCTTATCTTCAATTTCAATATTGTTTGAAAAAGTCATTCACACTAGACTTCTTTTTTATCTAAATACCATAGATCTTACACCTAAATTCCAATTCGGGTTTAGATCAAATTATTCTACGATTCAACAATTACTTAGAATAACTGAATACATTAATACTGCATTTTAAAAACATTGTCATACTGGAGCTGTATTTATAGATATTTCAAAAGCATTCAATAAAGTCTGGCACGAGGGCCTACTGCTAAACTAAAATCCATAAATACTCCATCTTACTTATTCAATATTATAAATTCATTTCTACTAAACAGGCAATTCACTGTTAAAATAAATGATAACACCTCTGACCTTATGCCTATAACTGCTGGAGTACCTCAGGGCTCTAAGCTTGGCCCCATTCTATTTAACATCTACGTATATGATATCCCCCAGTCTCCTCGTATGAATATTGCCCTTTTTGCATACGATACTACAATATTCACCGAATCACGTAACATTGAAGTAATTACCACAAATCTGCAAGTACATCTTGATACAATATCTTATTGGTGCAATAAATGGCGTATCCAAATAAATGCGTCAGAAAGCACAGGTGTTATTTTCAGTCTTTGTTTTTACCACCCCCGTGTACAATTAACATTTAACAATGTAAATATACCTTGGAGCTCGTCAGTAAAATACCTTAGCTTGATATTGGATAAACGGCTAACATAGCAGCCCCATACATCATCCAAACTTCAACAGGCATATCAGCGCCTTTCTATGTTATACCCTATTCTCAATAAAAATACAGAAAAAATGCTCTCTTCTAATATTGAAACAAATTCTACGTCCACTACTCACTTATGCGTGTTCGGTCTGGGGGAAATGTGCAACCACTGACATCAGTAAAATTCAAATTTTTATAAATTTCTATAAATTAATAATCATGTTCAAATTGTTAAAAATGTACCATTGTAAATATCAAAAGATGTAGATAGCCAAGGCTAGGAACATCTTATCTTAATAAAAAAAAAAAAAATGTTAAGTCTTCAATCATAGGTGCCACCAGGAATTTCATCAAAGGCGCATCATGCATAGTATATACGTTGATTTCTAAATATCGATTAAATTATTTAAGTTAAATATTTAGAAATATTTTTTCAAATTGTATGACAATACAAAATTATTTTTGTTTTTTTCGATGGCTACAAAGTAATGCAGGCAGGATTTATAGAAAATCCTATAATGATAATGATAGCCTTTATCTTATAGTTTTAAATTATAATATTTTGTTTTTAAATCCAGAGGGTACAAGTACACCTTGCACTCCTCTCACGGCACTCATATCTTCAATGGATATACATTTTCTTATGTTTATCAATCGACTGATTTGTAATCACCCATCCGACTACTTATTTATCGTCTCTGGAAGAAACAGATGAAAGCGATGTCCATAATATCATGGTAACTGTTAAACATATTATATTTCTATTCTTAGATGTGGCTACATTAAATGTTTTGCGTTTGGTCATAATTAAAGTGGCTCACAAACTAACATCAATCAACTACATTTCCCATATCCGAAATGACATATGTTATTAAGAGTTGCGATTTCATTTCCATCATAATCAACACGATTTTCTTCGCGTAATCAGTTTATTCCGATAATAAATTATACAATTAAATTAATTCATACGTTTAATCAATCAAATAAATACAGTAAATTCACATTAATATTTTTAAACACCCATTCTTATTATCCACCATAATCCATGTACAATAACACGTTTATTATTTTCGTTTATATACACCAGGGAATATTTTTTTAAAACACACCAGTTTCTTGTGACCTTAATTCATATTCCACCCCTCTATATACCCATTCTCGTTATTTATTACCGCTTGTAACTCAATTGATCTTGTAAACATCGACCCTGCACTTACCCTAACATAGTCCCGACGCTCGTGAAATTACTAAACGTTTTCAACGATAACTTTACCTTTTATAAAACGATTTTCAAAGATGAACTCAATGTCTTTAAACGTTGATGTCAGTGTGCATTCAAAAACATTTTTAATAATACATATTTTAGTGGTTAAATGTTAACGTTATGATTTCGGATGTGTTATAACTATATTGCACAATACTTCACATAACAATTGTTGGTGTCAGTAATTTCATTATTATATTGTAACAGTAATAGTGAGCTCAATTAAAAGGATAAATCAAAATGTTCAAATATTATTTAATGGTTAAAAGGTCCATGTTATGTTTGCGTGTTTTCAGAAGGTACATGGTTTATTTTGAACAGTATTAAAAATAATTTACAATTCGAATATCACGATTTTCCTGTAAAACAGATATATTTCAATTTGCACTGACTTTAATTACAACGCATCACATATGTCTACTTTGAAATATAGGTACACACATTTTAACCAGACTACGTAATACATACCATTCAAGCACATTTATTGTTTCGATATTGAGACTGTTCAGAGACAATTTAAGAGAACTCCTCAACTTTATAAACCTGTATACCATATGGACGTCTACTGAACGCGTGTAGAATTTAATAAATTGTTTAGGAAAAGCAAAATAAATAAATAACATGCGTCACACAATCTACGTGCCTTCTCATAAGTCTAACTTTTTGAATAATGCAACAGTATATATTTTTTTCCTCCTCAGTAAATGGAACCCCTTTTTTCTTCACGAACATAAACTCCCTTGCAAGGAACGTTTGCATGGTTCCACTTCGAACGTAAACGAAATAAAACAATTATAATGGTCTTAATGTAATTCAAAGTTATTATCAATGAATGTTAATTTACGTAATCGTATTATTCTTCAAATAATATTTGTCTTGTATGAATAAATGGTGTAAGTATGAAATACAGTGAAACCTGTATATAATGGACAGTCACGGGACCAAAATAATTGTCCGTTATAGACAGGTGTCCGTTGTAGACAGGTTTCAATGTTTTAAAAATTACAATTTTTACGTACATTTGTATTGTTTTATATTTTATAATATGTATTAGGTGTAATCTTTATTAATATGTATTATAATTATTATTATTTTAATTATTTATTATATGTACAATTATGTATATATTTGTATAAATTTATTAATTATTTCTTAAAAAATGATTCTATTGATCTTTGTTTTTTGAACTTCGATTTGGTCATTTCCAACTCGTGATGGATAATTAATTCGCTCACATATGAAAATCTCTTTTCATCGCCTTTATTTAAATAAAATTCTTTCAGACGAATAAGTTGTTCAAGAGCTTCTGAATAATTTGCAAACGTCTTAATTTCAGAATATTCTAGTTGGTCATCAGCTTGTTGCTCATCATCGGATTCTACGGGATTTAATTCAGTTCGAATGTCATCTAAAATTATAGCTATATCATCTGATCTACATTCTGTAGACAAATTACTGCCTCTTGTGGCAAATCGTCGTTTCTATGCAACGGAAGAAGCTCCATTAACTCCATTCAATTAACTCATTCCCATTCACTTCATTTTCGATTTCTGGAGGTTCACTGGACGGAAAATCTGTTTTTTTGAAACAATTTGTGATTGTTAATGAAGAAATTTGTGTCCACGCTTTTTTCACCCATGTCATCGCTTTTAAAACATCAATTTGCTTTGTTAGGTCGTGTGCATTTTGAGCGTCCTCCAGAATCGCAATAACGTGTTGTAGTGCGAACTTGCGGTAAAAAACTTTGAAAATTTTTATTATTCCTTGGTCTAAAGGTTGAGAAGTTGATGTTATATTTGGAGGAAAAAGTGTTACGTTGTCCAAAGACAGATGTGCATGTGATGTCGTATTGTCAAGAAACAATAACATTTTTCTGTTTTGAGTTTTCATTTGCTGATCGAGTCGTTGAAGCCAGTCTATCATTATATGAGTAGTCATCCATGCTTTACTATTCGCCTTCCATTCTACTGCCAGTTTACTAACATCAATTCCTTTAAAACACCCTGGTTTGACAGTTTTTCCAATGACGAGTTGTTTAAGTTTTTCTCCGGACATACTAACACATAGAAGAACAGTTAAACGTTCCTTAACTATTTTTCCACCAGAGCATGATTCCCCTTTGTAAGAAAACGTTTTGTCTGGTAATGCTCGGTAAAACAGATCAGTTTCATCAGCATTGAATATGTTTTGTGGCTCATACCCTGTCACTATTTCTGAAATTTTCGATTTTCATTCATTAACAATTGTTAGATTTGTAGAAGCTGATTCTCCGCAAATCGATTTAAAAACTATATTATGCCTTACCTTGAAGTTCTCTAACCAGCCATTGGAAGCTTTGAAATCATCACACTCGATTTCACGGGCAACTTCTAAAGCTTTTGCTTGAATGATTGGTCCAGATACAGGCACATTTTTATTTCTTACACGGTTAAACCACTCTAAAACAATTTCATCAATCAATTCAGCTGGCCCGTTCCTCTGGAATCGGCGAGATTTTTCGTTTGTGGAATTTTCGTTGTATCGACGTAAAATATTTTCTTTATTCTTTAAAACTTCGGCCACTTGCGTTTTACCAATGCCAAATTTGTCGGCAAATTTACGAATTGACCAACCTCCGTTAGAGTCTTTAAAACGAATAATATCCACCTTTTGTTTCAAATTTAAAGCTTTACGCGGCACGGGAGGTGGCATTGCTAAAGGTACGGTGTCCAATGCGCGACCTGTCGCCGCGACCAGTTATAATTTTCGGTCGCTGATGACCGACTGGTGTTCAATGCGCGACCGATCGTAGGTACTATGTTCTAAATTTCGTCAGTAGCACGCCGATGTCTATCGAAGGTTGACGTAAAACGGTACCAACATGTCTGATAATGAGTTGCTGTGTATTTTGAATAATAATAAATTCATTATAAACTTACTAGAAGATGAGTTTTAAAATCCTAATAAATAGACATTTGTTCGAAAATATTTTGGGAAATTTCTTTCCATTTTGCATCTTTAATTAATAAATTAAAATATTGCATGTGTGAACAGTCATAAAGCTCTGGATATTTACGCACGGATTCAATAAAAAGTTCATCTTCTTATAATGTAAATGCTATAGCCGACATATTGACCCCGAGAACGAATCGTCGACGCGTCGTACTACACTGCTCTTGTTGCGGTATTGTCGCGGGTCGCGACGGCAAATTATCTGTCGCGCATAGCAGTCGCGGGTAGGACACCAATCAATGGGAAACGCAAATAATCGGTAGAGCGCGACAGGTCACGCATTTGACACCGTACCTTAAGGAAAAAATGACTGCAACTCTGACTGCAAACCGATAGAAACTGAATAAAAACGTTTGATACTCATGGTTATCATTTATACGTATTGCAATTTATATCTGGATATCTTGGACTTAATAAATTCAATAGGTACTCGCAATTAGCGTTATCGTAATCGGTGATAATGTAATTGGTCGTGTTTTCACTGAATGATCTAATTGCGTTCCTTATCGACGCTGTTTCAATAACGCCGACACGTCCTTTTGTCGAGCCGGAAAACGTTTTATCGATATAATATATAGATAACCGCGTGTCGTGCATTACCTCAACTGTGTGTGTGTGTGTGTGTGTGTGTGTGTGTGTGTGTATGTATGTATGTATTTTTGTCCGTTATGAAATTGTTGGATTAAATATTAGTGTCCGTGTCCGTAATAGAAGGAGTCCGTTATAGACAGGTCAAAATACATTAGAATGCCTATCTTTTTGCCGGGACCTGGTCATTTTGTCCGTTAAGAGAGGTTTCCGTTAAGTCAGGTTTCACTGTATATTTTTGTTCGAGTTAAAGAAATTTTTATTTACAACAAAAAAGTAAGAGAATAAATCTCAACAAAAAAATAAAACCAAGGTTAAAATTTTAATCACCTAAATAGATTTTATTTTTTTTTCAAATTAAAATTTTTTATTTTAAATTCTGAGTGAAACTATAAATAAATTGGTTTTATCATGATATGGGTTTTTTTGTATCTGTGTGCACGATTTCGAGCAGAATTGCTCCAATCATCAAAATCTGAAGAGATTTGTAATAGAAAATGAAAGTTAACTAGTATTTTAGGGCCATTTACGAGTTTCCCAACAGTTTTCTTAATGATTGCGAAAAATAAAAGAACATTTTTAAAAATACGGCAAAATATACGGAATGTCAATAATTATCATTAATAAAAAAATAATAATCATAGAAACATTTACACTGAGTGCTTACATCTCTATTTTTTATACATGGTATTATTTTCAAAAAACTTTTTATCGAGCTATTTATAACAAATTTATATGTTCATGTTTTTGAACTTTACTTCAAAAATATCGATAAAATAATTTAGGTTCGACAAAAAGCCTTTAAACTTTAATAATCTAATCAATTTTTTTTTCGTTCGTCATAGATACCTATTATTGATTAAAAAAAAATTGAGCTTAAATTAAAAAAATAAAAAATTTACAAACTTTTAAATAATGAATTTTGACAAAACGATACCATCGCAAAAATCTGCTACATTTTTATAGTAAAAAATTCATAACATTTTGAGGATTTTTATACTCAAATTTGGAATTTTAAATTGGATAATAGATTATTTTTGTGGCCAAAAAAAAAATATTACTGGAATATTGCAGAAATTATTTATAAGCGTTACAAAGTAAAATGTTGACGAAATCTGATATTTCAATGAATTTCCATTAAAATATATTAATTATTTAGTTAAAGATATTTCATTATTTTTAATTATTTCAATGCATTTTCTATTGTTATAGGATATTTGAAATGTTTTATTTTCTCAATTTTTAGATGTCTTTTTTCGTTTAAACTATATTATTAAAAGTTCAACTTACCTTATTAAGAAATTTGGTCCTATAAAATCAACATCATAAGAAATATAAGCTAATCTTTTCGATCTCTTTCACTAAGAGTAATTTTTCTAAGAATAATGATACATTGGTTTTAAGCTCAAAAGATCAATATAGCTATTCACCCATCCCTGTATTTCATCCGACCTAGGAGTCTCGCTCTTTTTTTTCAATTGTATAGTTAATAAAATAATTAAAGTTTCATTTTATTGGAAATAAATTGACGAATTAAGAGTCAACAAATTGGATTTTAGTGTATTGGTTTTCAGTGACATGAGAAAATATGGGTATTTCGTTGCTTTACTATTAACGAGAGTAGAAAGAAGAAGGTATAGATAATATTACTTTTTCGAAACAAAACTGTTACATTCATATTTTTCGTGTTTGTACCTACAAAAGCAATCAAAAACCATTTCAACTATTGTTATAACTATTTTTGTTGAATAATTTTTGAATATTTTAACTCGAAATAGTTATAACTCGTATGTCTAGTGTGATAAAAAAATGTAATGATTTTTTTTTAACTACAAGGTTTAATAATATAACATTACTTATTACATTAAAAAAAAAAAAATCATACCGAAACCGGGCTATATTTAGATAAAATATAGTATTTTTTTCAGGTTAAAGATTTCTTCTCTTTTGGAGAACTACCAAAGAATAAATGTACCACTTAAAAATACCATCCTGATCCACTTTTTGTTCTGATAAAATATTGTATTTGACTTATGGTGTTACTATTCGAAGGCTTGGAAAAAAATAAAAAAATAAGCATGCATATAGAAATAAAAAAACTTTAAAAAATCAACATATTCCTTGTGAATTCAAAATTGTATCGATGTAATCTTTGAAACATAAATCCAAAGCTAACATTTGCTAAACGTGCATATTTTCTATGTCTGTGTCAGCCTTTTCTCATATTCAAAACCTCGCTTAAAATCGAATATGTTTTTAAAATTTTTACTATAGAATAAATAAATTTAACTTTCAAAACGTATAATAAATATCAAGAATAGGAGCATTTGTAAAACTATTTGGGAATATAACTATAATACCTTATTATAACAAATAATAATAATCCATAAAAAATTATTACAGACCTGTACCAAAGTTTCTTATTTTATTGAAAATTTAATTGCATATTATAGAGGTCCAAACCTTTCCCTCCTCAATGTCTCATACTAACTTTAAATCAAACAATTGAACTTACTGTAGAATTCAATTAGTTAAAATGATTTAAACTGTACATTGTTTTAAATTATTATTATCTCCGGTCGTTTACAAAAACAAAATTATTAATTTTAACTGCGCATTATTATTATGCATTTAATTTTATCGTGTTGTAATTTATTTACGTTTCTGAGTATAGTATATTTTATATATCGTGTAATAAACCATTTGGAAATACTATTGTGAACAATTTTGTTATTAAATTATAAGAAAACTTTCTGTTCTGTTTATTAGTTAAAATATCTTTAAATTGATTGTAATTATAACTTTTCGAGATGAAGAAATAATAACGTGTATTTCTCAAAATGAAAAATAGTATTTAATATCACACTTACTTACGTAATTTCAAAGTTCCATCAGTTCAATTATCGTTTTTCTACTGAATTTTATACGACATAATTATTATTATGTACAATTACGATCGATTTAGTTGCGAAAAAATGTTTATAATAATAATTACCACAAGTTTCATAAAGTATTATGGGTTCGGTAAAATGATTGTAATAATAATGACCAATAATTGTAAGGATACAGATTCTGAACGAAATTGCAATCATTGGCCGTGTTAAGGAAAAATAAAGTAAGTAAAGCAATTATTATTGTGGACGTCATTGGACTATTTTCTGATGAAACGATAAGTGCAAAACTTTTTATCGAGTTTCGTGATAAATCAAAATTGTTACGGTACTTAGAGTATAGTAATATGTTCTGGCTATCGAGTAAATCTTTATAATTTTTGTGAGTTTTTCATATCGTCCCGGAGAATGACAAAAAGTAATTTATACAAACGTAGCGAATTTCTAGCACTGAAAATAATATGGTAATATTTGACCAGAATGTGATGCGCGATGAACGCAATTCGTCGCCATCGTCCGAAACACGAATAAAACGTATTGTAATACGAGTATAATCACGTCTATACCTCCTGATAGTCGTAAAAATCAATTGGAAACGAATCATATGCAGTACACTATGTATTATAGTTATGCACGAGGTATATCGCGGATCCGTTATAATAATGTCAATTGTAACACTTTTAACACAGACCCGCGGGGCATCACGTTTTACAACAATTACATCGCAGTCTGTTGTTATTTACATACGAATTACGAATGCGGGTATTGTGTTCTGCGTGAACGGACGGACAGAACATCGGGGTAAAGCTGCTGCTTGTCCGTTTATAATTGATGGTTTCGAAAATACTAAAACCTAATTATTATGACACGACCGCTTGCGCATAAGATAACATTGTGTGTGCATAGTACTGGACAACCGAGCGATATCGCACGATCATTCCGATATATGATATACAATCATGTACACGTTATTATATTAGATTGCAATACGTACACCGTTAACGGCCGAGGAATGTCGAATTTCCATTTTTCTCGTTAACGTTTTCGCAAAATTCGTTTTTATTTATCTCGTCTCTACTGTTTGTGTCGGTGCGTTCGCGGTACTCTTCCTATTGCAAAGTAAGCACACATACACACACATATGTGTACATAAATAAACGGCATTCCACCGAAGGGTAGGCCCTAATGACCAGTAGGTCGCTGTACTATAGGTACGACATC